GTGTGTGTGTGTGTGTGTGTGTGTGTGTGTGTGTGTGTGTGTGTGTGTGTGTGTGTGTGTGTGTGCAGGCGAGGCCTGGGTGGTGGACAGGGACGCGCTCGTGTTCCGGCTTGCCGTCGACACGCACTCCATTCCTTTGGTGTGCGCCCACGCCTATGATCAATCACACCAGGGTAGGGTGGGGCTGGCCAGACACTAACACTGTCGATGTGGGGCGCAGGTGATGGTCGTCTCGGGTGGGTGGACGCCCGGCAACGACCCCGGCGTGATGGTCCGCTCCATCGCACACGTCCTCGCCCAGCGCTGACAGAGTTACTTTTTTCTTTTAATTTTAATTATGAATAAAATTAATAAATAAATATCGAAATTGAGTTCGTGGTCAGGCGTGGAAGAAGAAGATGGCAGCCCAGTTCGATGACTTGCAGGCGACGTGGTCGGAGGTGCAGAAGACGGTCGTGGAGCCGCTTCTCGCGCAGGACGCGGCCCAGCTTCTGCACTGGGCGTCAGTGCGGGAGGGCTTCGCGTGGCTCGTGCTCCTCGCGCCGGACCTGTGGATGGACGTCGCCTGGACCGCGGCCGTGTGCCACGACCGCCGCCGCGCCTTCGTCTACCACTCCTTCATCTATGCACTCGCCACCTGCCTTCTGGTACGGCTTGCAACTTTCTTTTACATTCAACTGATTTAATCTCTTCGTTCATTCCCTTTTCCTCTCAATTCGATTCAATTTAATTCAATGCTCATCATCGTATCTTGTAGTTCTCCTACGCTGGAGGAGTGACCATGCACATCGCCATCGGCGAGGCACCGCCCGTTCTCCGCTCCAACGTTGCACTACTCGCCTCGGCTGCGACCTGGTGCGCTCCCCCCGCTCCTCTCTTGGCCAAGAAGTCGCCTCACCTTGCTGAACTCCCAATGCCACACAGGTTTGTGATGTTCTTCACGCCACTGCGCCACCTCTACAACTTCTTCCCGGTCAAGGTGTGTGTCGTGCGTGTCGTGCGTGTCGTGTGTCTTTTCCTCCATACCCATGCGTCAATGGCAGACCTAACCCGCCACCGTGTTTACACACGCGGCAGATGGTCCTCGTGGCATTGCAGGCCATCTGCTGGCAGAGGTGCGT